AGTACAAAAAATTTTGTACTAAAAAGCTAAAAAAAAGTCATCCCAAATGAAACCTCTCTGAAAATAAGGTAAATTAGGCTTTGTTAGGGGACAACATAAGCTTTACCTTCATCATGGGAAATGAGAAGTTAATGACATGAATTCTAGCTCGAACGATACCAACTATCTGTGCTTCAATTTGACTACCATTAGAAGAATTGCCACTATTGTTCCCAGTCTTTGCATTTATAAATCTACTGATATTAACTCTCTCCAGCATAACATGCATGGTGACTGTCACATTTGTGCCATTTGGGGGCTGGTAGAATCCTGGGACCTTTACAATACCAACTGGATTGCTTTCATAGATCATCCCAAAGTTCAAGGGGCTGTATCTAATCCCAAACTTATTGAAATTTTGCGCAACAAACAACAAAGACGCCATTGATGCTTGAAGATAAACTCCCTTTCCAGAAGTTGTATCCAGTTTTATGGGGTCAAGGTGAATGGAATGCAAGTGGAATATGGGCTTCTTTGGTTTCAGAAAGAGGAGAATAAAGAGAATGGATGAGGATAGCAGTAAAAAGCTGAGTAAGATGAAGGAGAAGAGGCAACAATACCTCATTATGAGTGAATTGGACTCCTTAAAAGGTTTTTGTGCTTCTGAATCCATTCTCTTAGTCCTGTTTCTCTGTTATCTTCTTCATCTTTTTTGTTTTTCTTTGGAGATATGAGCTTTTTGGTTTGTTATACTTGCTTGCTTGTCCTTCGTTGAAGCCTTGCAAATACTTTCCAGGTTTCTATTCCTTTCTTTTAGGTTGGTTATCATTCTTCCTTGTCCATGTTCTTGCCACATAGCATCTCTTTAGACAGAAGACTTCAATTGATGGGTTACTAGCATTACAAGGAAACGATTGCAGCCTTTTATGCCCTCATTGACCATTGTATTAGGTTTTTTTTTCTTGGATTTAAGACTATGGAAATCCATCCCTAATATCTTGATTTCCATCACCAGGATTGAAGGGAGCCATTGTTAGTTCTTTGTGGAATCTGATTGTGTCAATCAATTGGATTGTATTGTTGACTAATATCTCAATTTTATCAATAGAGCTCATTGAGGAGCAAGTTGGGGGGCCTAAGGGTGCAACGCGCCGCCTGCTCGGAGGTTTGAGGGCTAAGCCCTCTTTTTTTGCGTGCAATGCAAGCTACTGTAAATTAGCTTAGATAGAGAACCCAGCACCAAAACGTTGTGGATCTATTGCCAAGGCGGTGCTCTTGGAAGGTTAAATGATGAAAATTATTTGATATGCCATTTGTTAAATTTCTCTAAATTTTATTAAATTGTTTGGCTATTTATTTCATGATTTCTAATATTTGACCAAGAATTTGAAAAAGTATTGGTGTTAGATTTAAAATAATAAGATGAATCACTGTTTTATTAAATCGAATAAAATATAGTTAACATCTTAAAGTGAAATATAATAACTTAACAATATAATGTAGTACTTATTTTTAAATTTGAAAGCTTTATTGATAAATATGTTATTAATTAATTGTTATTAAATAAGTATAATGAGTTTTAATATGAGCTATTGAACTAACTGAAATTAAAGTAAAAAAAAATAAACTTGTGAATCACTAAACACTATCTTTTTATTGAGAAATTTTACTATATATTTATTATAATATATACAATTGATTGATCAAATATCCTCATTGTTTGTTTGCTCAGAGAAATATATTTAAAAGTTTACTTCGAACGAAATTATCCTTATTGACTCTTGTATTTGCGTACTACTTATTAAAATAGAAGTCCTTTGAAATTTGTTCAAATTTGATTTGAACTATTCAAACATCTATTCGAACATGATTCAAATTTGTTCGAAGATGATTCAAATTTGTTACTCAAGATTGTCCAAAGATATTAGAATTCAAGGGTGCTTTGGTTCGATGTTAGTGGCCATTGGCCAATCATGCAAGCTCTGAGATTGTCAAAGATGGTAGGTGTTCATAAAAGGGACGTTCAAAAGTTAATATATATTTTCACTCGGGGTGTGATCATACTTATACAAGGTAGGGACATTTCTATTTAAAAAGAAATTTCAAACATATTTTTCTAAAAAATAAATGATATGAATATTTGAGCAATTGTGTTTATTATAAGGAATATAAAGTCAAATTTACTTTTTTTCATGGTGATGGATGCTCTCTCTTGTGAGATTAATTATAACAACTTCTCTGCGATTTCCTCTGGGGATTTCTCTGTCAATCATCTTCTATATGTAGATGATATTTTGGGTTTTGGGTAAGCTACTCTTCTGAATGCTGGTTATCTTAAGAGTTCACTTGACACTTTTGCGGATCACTCTGGGCTAGGGGTTAACAATGCTAAATGCTCCATTATGTTTTCTCACAACACCCCTTTAGCTAGTGACATTACCTCCTTGCTTGGTTTCACCCAAATCGAAAACACACTAACTTATCTTGGCCTCCCTATATCTACTAAAAAACTCAATGCTACTCACTTCCAACCACTACTGAGCAAGCTTTCTACTCTACTTGCTGGTTGGAAAGTTAAATTCTTGTCTTTTGCAGGTTGAATTCAGTTCTTAAGTTCACTATCATCAACACCCTTGCTTACTGGATCAGGGGGGGCTATTATACCTAAAACAATTTCTAAGAACATTGACAAATTATGTTCTAAGTTCATCTATCATGGCTCTTCCACAAAAAAGAAATTGCACCTTATAGCTTGGAAGAATATATGCCTCCCTAAGTGCTTTGGTGGGCTTGGTTTTCCCTCCATTGAATCCCTTTATTTTGCATTCGGTTGCTCTTTTATTTGGAGATATTTCAACTCTAATTCACTGGTGGCTTGTTGGTTTTTTGAAAAAATATGTTTCTCCTTAGAGACCTCTATGCTCCAAGACCTCTAAATTTTGGAAATTGTTTTCTTCTATTTCCCATAGGATAAAAGGGATGTTTTGGTTTCATGTGGTCAAGGAGAACTATAACTTTTCCTTACTTTGGGACCCATGGTGTGATGGATATGTTATTTCTGATTTTATGCAACCCAATTCTATTTCTAGGTTGACTATTAATGACTGTTTTTTGATGGGGCTTGGTCTTTACCGAGTGTTTTTAACCAGTTATGCTGGACCGCATTTTGACCACCCCAATTTTACAACCCCACATCCTATATCTCTTGGGTTGGGAGTGATAAGCCATGCTTCAACTCTTTTTACATGCAATTTTATTCAGAGTTTGTTAAGATCCCGTGGGTTACCTTTGTGTGGCATCACAGATATGCTCTAGATACTCCTCTTTTGTATGGTTGGCTCTTTTAGGAGGACTTAAAACGGCTGGTGTTCTTGCCAAAAGGAATATTTACATCTCCTCTGTATGCCCGTTATGCAGGAATGAAAATGAGAGTGTAGCCCACTATTTTTTTCAGTGCGATTATACGTTTTTTGTTAGTTCTACTCTTCTTCCCTCCCTCCATAATTTTTTGCTTCATCCGACACTGCTCTAGGTGTTTTATTCTCTTGAGGGAAATACGCAATTGCACTTGTGAGAAGGAATTTTGTTATTATGTGGTTTGCTGCTCAGTTTACTTCTTATGGAGGGACCGTAATGAGATACGTTTTGCTGGTGCTGATATTTTCGTTGATGCTTCTATTAGAAGGATTACTCGTGCTATTAGAGCCAAAACCTCTACATGGAAAAAATTTGACTTGCTGCAGGAATCACACCCTTCTTGCTTTAGGAGCTGCTAAATTCGGTTTGAATTTTCATGCTCCCTGCTCTTGAGTGGTTTTTTGCTTTGTTGTGTTGTGGGGGGGGGGGGTAGTTTTGTCCTCCACGGACAATGAGAGTAGAACTAACATTTTGGTCTCTTCCCTTGGACGACCTGCTGTGTGCAATCTATATTCTCTCATTGGCTAGAGCATTTTCAAGGTTTTGATGGCAACCAGGGTGTTGTGGCTTCCCCTTTTGGACGGCTTGCTCTTGTTCTTTCTCACTTAGTTTTGCAGATTGCCCCTATTTTCTGTTCTAGTTGGCAACCAGGGAATGGTGGTGCATTCGTTCTGGCTGATCTTCAATGATTAATCTTTTTAGCTTATTTTGTTAGTTCTTAATGTTGAGTTCGATCATTGTTTTAACAACTTTTGTGTTTTTCTTTTCTTCCTGTACCCGATTTTTTTGGGTATTATTCTCATTGTAACTGTTTTTTTTTTAAATATACGGGCCCACAAAATTACCCGAAAAAAAAAACAAATCCATAACTATGTTTAAACCCTAAACCCTAAACCCTAAACCCTAAACTTTTATTCAGTCCAGTGAACATACGCTCTTATACATTCGGCCACCAATATTTTAGCGCCACGTAGCATGAAGAAAAGTCGCCGACCTGACCTGCTGTTTTTTGGGTTCTCGCACGTGCATTTTTTTAAATCCTTGACGAGCCGAACAATATCCCATCACCTTTTGGATATATTTCAAATACCTAGCAATACCGAGCAAATACCAAATTGTACCTAATTTTTTCTAGCGATACCGAGCAAATACCTAGCAATACCGAGCAAATCCCTAGCAATACCGAGCAAATACGTAGCAAATACTGAGTTGTACCGAGTTTTTTCTAGCAATATCGAGCAAATACCTTGCAATACAGAGCAAATCCCTAGCAATACCAAGCAAATCCTGAGCAAATACTGAGTTGTACCGAGTTGTAAAAAACTCGGTACAACTCGGTATTTTCATAGTATTGGTCTTCACAGAGCGGTATTTCTCATTTTTGCAAAGCAATACCTAGCAAATATCGAGCAAATACCGAGCAATACCGAGAAAATTGTGAACAAAGCATTCCCGGGTTCCGCTCCGGGTCAAGTCGTCGGGCCGCGCGGTTTAGAGTAAGAGCACGTGGCGACAATTTATTGGCGGCCGAACGTATCTCTACGTCCGGTCAGATGACGTAATAATTGTTCATGTTTAAACCCATATAAAATAACCAGAAATATTGGCTTTCAGGTGCCTTCTCACTTCGCAGTCTTCACTCTTCACTGCATTGGTAGCTCCGTACCCTTACGCATGCTCAATCGCTGCTTCGGCGATCGCTTCAGGTTCTGAATTTAATTCTCTAAATCTCTTCCTGGTCCGAATTTATGATTTTTTGATTTATTCAAATTTCATATTTAGGTTAACAACCTAAAATCTCGCTCCTTTAACGGTCCAACTGCCGATATTAGTTGGATTTTGATCATACTCGCTTGTTTTGAATCTCTGATCGAGACTTTTCCGGCAACTCCACGCATTCGGCTTGCGGAAAGTCGGAAGCTGAAAGGTCAGTGGAAATATTTTCATTTATTTCCATTTCCTTTATCAAGATGAGAAAAGTTTGGGATACGATTATGGTCTCCGTCTGTTCGTTATCTCTTCCGTCGAGTCTTTCCCCAACGCAAAAAAAAATCCAAACTTCGACTGTTCTTCCGTCGATTTTATTTCTCTGACTTAATAATTCTGTTCTCAGTTCAATTTCCTTTTCTCTCTATTGGAGAAGAGCTCGGGAAGAAGAAATCAAAGACGTGGCTCTTCCATGGACGTTCGCAGCCCTAATCAGGGAATCATCATCGTCCCGGACGGGAACTCCTGTAAAGGCAGCGGCTTTAACGATCCCATTGAGATCGATGACGAGGTCGAGTTTCTCGGAGTGTTGGAAATGAGCAGAGGAAGCAGCCGTAAACACCCCATCGTCGTCGAGCAGGAGGGACTCCATCAAGCTTGGGCTCCTAATTTTCTTAGACTGAAACCGAAGAGATCCCGCTCTTTCAAGAAGCCATTGGTGGAATCTCCCTGGGCGGGCAAGCCTGTCTTTGAGATTGGGGAATCTTCAGGCACTTCATTACAAGAGAATTTGGAAATGGAGTTTGGGGTCTCATCGGGATCCTTTCCTATACGTCTCGAGCCTGATTTTAATTGTGAAATATGCATGGAGTCGAAGTATCCGAACGAGCTATTCGCCATTGAAGGCTGCTCTCATATCTACTGCAAGAGCTGCGTCAGTCAGTATGTAGCGGCGAAGGTGGAGGAGAACGTGCTTTTCATCAAATGCCCAGATCCAAATTGCGTTAAGGGCAAGCTAGAACCAGCGATGTGCTCGCGGATACTTGAAGACAGGGTGTTTGATCTTTGGTGCAAGGCTTTGTGCGAGCTAATGGTAAATGATAAATTTTATTGCCCATTTAAGGATTGCTCTGCGCTTATGATAAATGATGAGGAGGAGGTGATAACAGATGCAGAGTGTCCGCATTGCAGTAGACTCTTTTGTGCTCAGTGCAGGGTGCCTTGGCATGAGGGCTTGAGTTGCGATGAGTTTCAGAGCTTGGGGAAGAATGACAGGAAGATTGAAGATTTAATGCTTATGAAGCTGGCCAAGGAAAGCAAATGGCAAAGATGCCCGAAATGCAAGTTCTTTGTGGAGAGGAGTGACGGATGCGTGTTCATTACGTGCAGGTAATATCCATCTTGCCAAGCTTTGCTATGCAGTCAGGAGCTGTTTGGTTGAATTATTATTTTTGTAATCCTGCTAATTTTATAATCTATGACGTAATTAAGAGATCAGGCTGAGTCCCAATTCTATTCATTCCAGTAGGTGGGAACCAAGCTCAATTTCAAATCATTTAATTTAAAAACTCTTTTATTGTTAATGATCGTGTTAGTTTCTCAGATGTGTTTCCCTTTTAATTTGTCTTAGTTTCATCAATTTAGAGTAGTGCGCTAGTAAAAAACAATAATTAATAACAAATGATAAGAAGAATAATCATTTTAATTCAAATATTATTACCAGTTATTCCGTTTTAATCATTATCCAGCTAGTTAAAGAATCAATTAGCATCTCCTTTTCACTCTTGCCATCCTTTCTCACACTATATCGTTAGTTGCCATTCCTTCCCCTCTCCTCTCCTTTTCTCTCTTTCTCTCTAATATTTGGCTGTATTTGTCTTCTTTTAATTCCAAAACCTTTTAATTGTATTTGGAGATTAAGGAAATCTAAGTTTTAACTCATAGTTATTTAATTAAATAGTTAGAGGATTACCATAATCATAAAAATTTTCCTTAATGTGATGTAGGGAATCATTGATGAAGGATGCCAAACAGCTCAAAGAACCAAGAATAGTGAAAATATTGTAATTTTAAAAAATATTTCATATCATCTCTTCCTCCTAAAGCAACTGTATATCACATTGTAATAGAATTTTTAAGAAAATTATAGAAAATAGATACAAAATAGGTATACTATTCCTAAGGAATGCTATAATTAAGATGCACCACATCATACTCCTATATCTGAAGAATCCTGAGAAGGATTTTGGGAATCGGGGCTCCGTGAGAGGGCGCTGCCATGTACTGAAGCGGGAATGGTTTGGCAGGACATGCGGTGTGGCCGCAGGTTTGAGCGCGCATGAGTGCAAGAGCGGTCAGGCGGGTTGTAGCGTGCAAGGGTTGTGCACTATCAGAGTAGGAGACGGGACTGGCGCTAGGTGTGCTTGAGAGGCAGGCCGGAGGGGGCCACTGGTCCCGTGGGTGCGGTGTATACTATTAGGTTGCGGGTCCGAGACCGAGTGGACATGGTGACTGCGGGTGCAGAGGAACCAAGGACGAGTGCGTGTCCATGCGAACAGGACAAGCGCGGGCACGAGCATAGGTCGACGGTGTGGGCCAATCGCAAGGAGTATGAGGAAGTTCGTGGACAGGAGGATCGTGCGCGACACTTAGTCGGGCCGGTTGCGGGAAACTATCTGATGGTATGGTGCCATTGGTGGGGATTAATTCACTAGTATGGTTGCCAGCAGTGGCGATTGACTCGTCGGTCTGGTTTCCGCCTTGCTGGCTGATGTATACGGTCAGAATTTCTCCTCCGATCGTCATCACAAGTGAGAATCTGATGTCCTCCATACTTCACTAGCCTAAGTTTTGATACCAACTAATGTAGGGAATCATTGAAGAAGGATGCCAAACATCTCGAAGAACAATGAAAATAATATAATTTTCAAAAATATTTCATATCATCTCTTCCTCCTAAAGTAGTTGTATATAACATAACAATAGAATTTTCTTGAAAATTCTAGAAAATAGGTACAAAACATGTATACTATTCTTAAGGCATGCTATAATTAAGATGCTATAATCATAAAAAGTACCCTTAATGCATTTGGGATTAGATGATTAAAACCTCTTTAATTCTCAATCCCTTCAAACCAAGAAGTTCCTTGATGCCTATGAACTTTGATGCTACCTAGTGATTATAATATAGTGTGTTTATTTTATAATAGTGTATATCTATGGAGAATATTTAAAAATAGTAGCTCTTGCAATTATAAAGCGAAAAGGGCATATGAGGTGCAAGAGATTTGCATGCTATCTTATCCCATCTTGGAACACTTAGAGCGGTCAGTTTGGGGTATGACTTGATTTCAAGAAACATAGGCCATATCATAATGCCTTAGATTGTATTAACACAAAAAAATGTCTTAGTGCACAATAGATCTCTTAAGGATAAACATATATATAGACCAAAAATATAAGGATGGCAATGATATGATGATGAGAATACACGAAGAAATAACACTTGCTTTATAAGATGTGTGTTTGGTTTTCCTCATAAGCCTTACTTTGCAAGCATGATAACAATAGAGTCAGTTTAAGAACTTAGTAAATGGCTAGATTATGATGCACTGATACACCTCTCTAGTGATGTATGAAGTGCCTGTCATGTCATAGACATGGACATGTGTATGACACTTCTCCAACAAATGTCTTACATGGCAAAGACATATCTAATTAAAATAATATTAAAAAAATCCAATGGGCATGTCTTAAATATTTTATTAAAAAATTACTTTTAAATATAATTTTTATTGTTCAATGTTGTTAACTTAAAAAACAACTTGTAATTCCTCTCCATAGCAATGATGAAGTACTTTCCTATGTCCCAACTATTTCTCTTGTGGCTAGGGACTGAACAACGGCTCATCATCGACGTCCAATGGCATCTTGGCATTCACGCCCAACACCAATAATTTCTACCCCACAATCATGCTCCCGCACCTTCTTGACATTTTCATTTCTTGATGACATTTAGGTTTTTGAATTTTTTATGATATATTAATTTAAATTTAGGATTTTATGCTATTTTTGAAATATTTTATCAAAGTATAGCGAGCTCTAGTGATGGTGTATTTGGAAGTGGTGATGGTTAAATATAGTTTAATGTTGAAGTCATAAGCCTTTATGGAATCACATGCTCGCAACTTTTTTTGCAATATTCAGTTTTACAAAGTTGTTAGAGTTCAATGGCTTACCATTTCTTTATTATTTTTTATATTCTGCTTATTCAAATTATATTAACTAATTTTAAGCTATAAAAATTATATGTCGTGTCCAACTCGTAATTGTCTTATATTTTCAATAATTCACCTATCTCGTGTCCATACCGTGTTGTGTCTGTGTCGCCATGTTCATGTATGTACAACCTAATTGATAAACCCGCATGTGGGGATAGTTATCGGATAAACTTTGTGTAGCGGAAACTTATGTGTACAATCTTGAAAGTTGGAAATGGATACTTCGACTATGAGTTTGAAAACTTATTATCAATTTGAAAAATATTATTTTATAATCGAGTATTATGTAGAGAATAATATACTTTTTTTAAAGATAAAAATACTTTCTATTGAATACTTATGAATAATCACAAATGAATTTTGAAAATTTAACTTTATCATATATCTCAGAGATCATCCCTCACCTGATATAATTGAATTGAATAGGGTTGATTTAATATTGGATACTAGTTCTCTATTAGGGCAAGACCATATAGTTATTTATATCTTAAGAGGTTCCCTTATAAGAAAACTCTTAATTGATGTAATGAAAAATATGCTTGTGATTTCAAAGGTTTAATTGTAGAATTTGATCTTAGATTTTGAAATGAGATTGGCTCAACTTTGGAAGAGATTTTGATGTGGAAGCCAAAGGGAGAAAAGTACGAGCATTGGATTTCAAAGAGACTTAGAAATGCACAAACTATCAGAGAATAGGATTTAATTTTCTGAGATTTAATTTATTTTTGAATCGACAATTTTATTTAGAATTTGGGATTTAAAAATTACTAATATAAAAATTATGAAAAGACATAGGAAAGAGGACTCAAGATGCACTAATAAAGAGCATCAACCTTGATTCCCAGGTCAAGATGGGGATTACTACTAGAGTAGTACCTTGAACATGATTTAAAAAGGAATTTGAGATGCTTGACTTGAGGTTCACCTCACATTAAGGCACCCACTAAGCCTATCAAGGCTGACGATTTTTTGGCTTTAGTGAGGCTGACGTCTTTTTCAGTCAAAGCACACATCCCAAGGTTGCACATGGGGCAAATGCATCTAATTAACATTCATTTGAAAAATACACTTTTAAACTATACATAAGAGTGTTTAAGTTTTTAGATTTAGGGTTTAGATCAATTTGGAGATAGATAGTTTAAATTTTAGGGTTTTTTTTTTCCCTTTTTTACTTATATTTTTTAAACTATTTTGTTCTTTTCTTTATATTATGATTATTTTATAATTATTTATCTTTTAAGATATTTTTTCAAAATTTTAATTATTCTTGTTTTTCTTTTGTAACTATTTTCTAAATTTGTCTTTATTTAATTTTTTTAGTTTTTTTAAATGCTTTCGTCTTTGTATCATTTTCTTTTTTAACCATTTTTAAATATCTTTTTAACTGATTTTTCTTTTACTTTTTTATTAATGGTTTATTTTTGTTTTCATTTAGGATTCATGTTTTTAATTTTCTTTTTAGTTATTTGTTGTTGATTTGTATTATATTTATGAATTATCTATAATTTTGAGTTTTTAATTTTTATTTTTGTTCAATGTTGAAGCCTTTGTTCGCCTTAAGACTTATGCCTTGCTTCAATAAGGTAAATATATTTGTTCTGAATATTTCCTTTTAAAATCTTACCTCGAACCTAATCTAATCCTATGCAGGGGATTTATAACTTGAATCATCATTTAGGATTAAGTAACTCGATATATTGGAGTTACAATCCTGTCCACGAATTCTTTTTTAAGTGCTTTTAAAATCATAACATCATACTCTTTATATCTGTTTTAAATTTAAGAAAAAGAGTCTTACAACTTCTGGCCACTGCCACTAAAGCTAAGCAGCTTGATCATGTAGGTACAAATACGAGCTTGCCAATGCAAATTTCTTTAATCATCTATACTTAATATGAAAAGGGCTTTATTTCTAAATATTTGATTTATAAGGATTGTGAATGTGTTCATTAACTAAGATTGGGTTTGATGATGATTATATTGAGCACATTCTTATAGATAAAGTAGTTTTTTGAAATAAAAATTTGCCTTATGGCCAAGTTATTAGACTAGTCACCTCGACTAAAGTCTACCTAATTTGGCCAACTAGATAAGTTGTAGGATAATAAGATGTTCTTGATGTGGCCACAGTAAGTAGGCTTAGATGTTTATCTTAGGGACCTAATGTTGAGGACATCCGACTATGAAGAGTCTATCGGGGAACGGATCAATGATCTACGGCCACGATCGCACCACTTTATTTTTGAGATATCATTTGTATTTGGTTTATTATTATTTGTGTATTTGATTTATTATCGCAGTTTTTTATTTTTTCTCTCACTTGAGAGAGTAGTTGTTTGTGACCCTTAGGGGTACTTTTATCTTTGGGTTTTACTATTGTAACTTAGCTATTTATAACCCCTCCTCTTCTTTGGAGAGGGTAATGATGATTATTATAAAAATTTAAGCACTTATTGCTCTTTTGAGAGTTCTTGTGAGAATCGTGGTAAACTCCCTAGGTGAGGGCAACGTATTACCCACTAGTCGCAGGAAGTTTCTAGGCTCGTGGTTCTCCTCCTTCCCTTCTCCAACCGCCGGCCCAAAGCCACCTCCCATCCTAACCGGCGGCCCCTCAAGCTCCCTCTCTTTCCTCCTAGCCGACGGCCACAAGGCCACCTCCTCCTCCTCTAAGCTGCCGGCCCCAAGACCCCTCCCCTCATCCTAGCCGCCGGTGCAAGCCCCAAATACTCCCTAATCGCTGGCCCTAAAACCCTAACCCTAACCTTAGTCGCATGCCAACCATACTTTCCTTGCCAACAAAATTCAAATCCTAAATTGATACTTTCCATTTATAAAGCATCTTAAATCAGGAAGGTTCTTAATTTCAAATTTCGATCTTTTTTGAATTTGAAATTCCTTCCTAAACAAGATAACTTATCTTAGGAAAGTTCCCTAAATCACACCAATTTTAATTAATTAGGGATTTGCCATAATTTCCTCCTTTCCTAATTAAACATCCCTTATTTGGTAACCCCTTAATTTCCTCCCACATCACCTCCCCACCCCCATACCTGTTGGTCCACCCCTCTCTCCTCCCATTTAATTCTTTCCCTTTAATGCTCCCAATCAAATCCTCTCCCATTAACATGTGCCGCCCCCTTCCTCCTTCCCTTTCTCTTATGGTTCTTCCCAATTAATCCCCCAACCAATCTCTCTACTAAAATTCCAGATTTTGGGAGGATTTTAACCACACAAGGTGGATGTCCAGATATTTCAGCAAGTTCCCCTTGCTATCCTAAAGGCCCTCGTTTGTTGTCCAGAAGTTCCAGCACCTTGTAATTTGTTGTCCCTTCATGTATGGCTCATCCAGAACACGACCACGGCTTTGTATTTGACGATCAAGGGCTGATTGATATCCTCTGGTCTCCGTTCTTCAACATCGACTTTGAGAACGACCAATCCGTTGAAGACTACGTAGAAAGAATCCTCTTCTCTCTTGCCATCGCTATTGAACAACAATACCCTCCCGTTCAGTGGCGACTTTCTTCCGAATCCTGACAAAGGTGAACTCTCTTGCAAGTTTTGTCTCTTCTAAGTTTTCCCTCAATTGTGCCATCATAAAGATTATGTAAGCTTTCTCCGCTTTCACCAATCTTCAAAGAGTTGAGTGAGGGATTTTAAATAGTGACTATTCGGAATGTTAATTTAGGGATTTTTGTCGAAAGCCCCACATTACGCAAAATCTGATTTGATTGGCTATTTTTGTGTTCTAAATTTTTGTTGTGTAATCTATTACTTGATCTAAATAATTGCTTTATTGTTTTCAATCACCATTTAAATAAAGGAAGTTGACTAATTGCTCTAGCTCTTTCAAAGACATATAATTTCAAAAGGCAAAACATCAATGTACGCATTTAATCCTACATCACCTATGGTTTGGACAAATTTTGATTTAAAATTTGACTGATGATAGTTGGTGGTACACATAATTTTATACGGAAAATAAGTCTAGGGTGTGACCTAGACCTATGGGTGACTAATCACCTAGAATTAACTAAACTAAAAATCTAGGATCTATTTAGGTAAATCCAAACCTAGGGAATTTGAACAAGCAAATATGGTAGGCAATGGTTAAATAACCTAGGGGTGATGGAGTTCATCAAATTGGGTTAAAGTGAATAGGGCATATGCGTTTCACATGAGGATCTAAGGTTTGGATTTATTTAAGGAATAGGTGATGATAAAAAGTTTGTTTGATTGGGCCAAGCAAACAGACCTAGGAGTTTGACCTAGGGCTAGGAGGTACTTGCTTGATTGGGTCGGACAAATAGGCTTAGGGATTTGACCTATGAGGCTTAAAGGACCATGGTCAAACCTAGGGTTTCTTTGGGTTGACCAAATGAGATGTAAAAAACTCTTAATGATGAATTAAGGGTTTTAAGATTGCAAAAGCAGTGAAACTTTGCACTTAGGCTTGGGGAAAGCTAAGGGAAGATCTAATAAAGTTCTAGAAATTTTTATTTAATTGGGATGTTTATGGATTATTTTATGCTTAAGAAATTTAGGTATCCTAAGCTATAGGGGCTGGAAGCAATTTAGGGTATTTATTTGAATTATATAAATTTTTGTGAATCTGTTTAAAATGTGTTTGCATTTTTAGTATTTCTCTTGAAGGATTTATGAATTTTAGTAGTTAAATTTGATTGTCGTAATTCATCAATTAAACCCATGGGATACCTAAATCAAATTTGTAGTTTTTGGCTTATGAGTGACTTGTGATTTGGACAAGGCTGTATTTAACTTAAGGAAAAAGCTATTTGAGAATTTTTTGTATTAATCCTATTTTTGTTTTAGAAAATTAATAAACCTAATATCGATTTAGGACTAATTTAGGGTATGTTATTTGAATTTTTATTCTCTTAGGAGTTCATAGCGTTGTAATTAAATATTTCTTATTTTCTTCACTAATTTATTCATTTTAGAAGATATAAATTTTGTTGAATATTCCTATATGATTAAACCTTAGCACGGGGCTTAGGACTTAGTGAAATCATGCATGCGGATATCTTGACACGTAATGGATCTCGAATGTGGATATGATAATCTAACAATCCCACGGGCATCTTCCTATTGGTGCTAAGAATAAATATCATCCATTTGATTTTGGCCTTGTTAGATGACGACGAGGAGCAACAACAACCGTGGGATTTTGACTCAAGCTCCATCAGGAGCTTGAGGGTGTTCTAGATCTGTATCCTCTTAGGTTTTCCATGACCATCCACTTTAAAGAGTACCGGGATCCTAAGGGCCTCTTTTAGGGTTTAGAATTGGTTCCTCACCCAGAGCTTGTTTGGTGACCGGCCGAATGTAACAACTTCATCTTGAAGAGCAAAACTATCTGATAAAGGGCGTAGGAGCTAAGGATGTCTGGATTGAGCTAGAGGCCAACACTATCATTTCACTTGCTGGTCTTAGTGCCTTGAGGGCTTTTGCAAGCCATTGCAAAGGAAGGGAAGCTCATAGGAAAGTTTGTTGACCTCTAAGGAATGCTCCGAAGGCAAGAATTTTTTTAATTCCTTCCACTTGATCACTATAATGAGCTTGATGAGGGTATTGGCTTACTAAGGTAATGTTGAGATGCAGAATGTCCATTAAGTCCTCAGGTTATTAAAGGAGAGTTATTGTGATGTTATCATATGGCTTGTAACGAGCTAGAGATAGGAGATGCCAAGGAAAGTTGAGGCTGAGCTCGAGATCACTAGAGATGGCAATTTGAGTTGGGGAAGCTTAAAACCGTTAAATCAGAGGACTAAATTGATTTGGATTGATCCTTAGGAGTTATGGAAGAGTAGCAATTAGCTCAATTTCGGCTAATAGCATTTGATTGTTGGATTGAGCTTGATTTATTGGATCAGACCAGGTCAATCGGATTGAGACACCAAGGGTGAGTCCTAGAGGTCTTAGATCTAATATGCTAGGGCTTCGGTTGACTTGGGCTCAACTGCTCAAGAGAGTTTGAAATGCTCAAAGAGGCCAAAGGGGGCATTTCGGTCCATGTTCAACCTGCATTGATCACAATCAAATGTGGCTAGATCAACCCCACCTAACCAAAGGATTAAGTCCATTGGCTTATTAGGCTTATGTAGGACTTGTGTCATGTCTAATTGACTCATAGCTTGAGCCAATTTGAACACTAGGGTTAAGCCAAGGTTCAAGGGGTCCTAGGACTTGGTTAGGCCACTTAGGTGACAAAGGTCTAATTTTACAGTACTTTGAGACAAAGGGATCCAAGCTATATGATAATTTGGACCCCTAGATTAGGCCAGCTTGAAGTAGTCTATGTTGGGTCAGACAACTTAGGCTAAGCCAATGTTCCTTTGAAGGGATTTGGGTTGTTTCTAAACTAACCTAGCCTAAGCTTATAGGTTAAACCAGTCCAAAAGGGGATCCTATATGGTGGGGTCAATCCGCTAAGATTAGAGGAGAACTAGTGATGCTTAGGATTTGGCTACATCAGCTCAATTTTAGTGTACACTATGAGAGGCCTAAGAAGATATGTGTCTGCTAAATTAAAGGACAAAGGAAAGAGATTGAGCTACATCTAAGAAGACTAAAGCCCAGTCAATGTCATGACCATAAATTTGGTCAACAACACCACTGCCATGTATACAATTACATAAGAATAATATACATTTATTTTATATGAAGTTATGGGAAAATGAATACTAATCAAGTGTAGTGTCAATAAACTAAATCACAAATATATCTTGATTGAGATGAAATAATTACTATAGGGATCTACTACATAGAATTTAAAAAAAAAATTATTATTTTCATGCAGAATAATTAGGCTTTTAATCACTTAAGCAGTCATATACTTTGAGACAAATAGAATTTAATAGTGCCTCGTTTTATACAAAACAGGCTTGTCAAACCATCGTTGAAAAGAACATAATAGGTGGCTTGTCATTCACTCGGGAATTCCCCGCAAAGTTTGCGGCCTCTGCTTCAGTAATTATCAAGTTAGTGAATACTTCCTTTTGTTCCTAGATATGACTCTTTTGAAGGTCTTCAGCACCAATACTTTTCTATCATTTTGCAAACTAACTGTGCCCAACATCCTTAGGCAGCTTTGTTGCCGGGTATCAAGATTTGTCTTTGTTAATTTACTTGCTTTCAGAAGTAATTGCCTATTGTTGAGAGCTTGTGATGATCTATGATAGTCTTTTTAACTCATATTTGATGAGCTTAAATTAAAAACCAATTTATTGATTTATTTGATTCTTCTAAGGTGCCGTTTTACCTTTTGCTACGGGTGTGCATCAGAAATGAAAACCAACCACTACTGCGAGAAATGCAAGCGCTAGATGCCGAGATAGCACTTTTCGTTTGAATTTCTTAGAGTTGAAGGTATGCTTCTTTTTAGACTTCTTTCATTGGATTCTTAAATCATTATTTTAGCAACTTGCACTTAATAGTTTATCAATTATTTTGACATAAATTAGTGGATTGTCATATTTGACATAACCACTTCATCATTTGGGTAGCTAGTAATGAAAAATTCTAATGTTGGACAATCTAATTAGTTTGTTGCTCTTGTTGATATCTTGTATTTAGTTGAATGCTTCAAATTACTACAACATAAGATGTTGTCACTTTAAATTTTCACCTTCAATCTATTGAGGTGGGTGAAACATAAGATGTCTAATTTGAACTCAATATATTAATAAATGGACGGGCATCTGTTAGACCGGTCCCTAGTGGACCGGTTCTTGTTTACTCCAGGAGGGGCAGCAACAAAGAGAGAGGGAGAGAAGTGGGGTCCACTAAGAGTTCAAATTCAAACTTCTTGGAGGGAAAGGAGGGGGTGGCAAGGGCTTTATAGTAATTGTGGCTTGGTTAATTAATTTTATGCTTTAAGTAGGATGAGTGAATTAGGGTTAGGGTTATGTTTTGATTATTGAGTTCTCTTGGGTTTTTCTTCTTGGTGTCTTGGGCTTTTGATTCATCGCCTAGAGATTGGGAGAGATCAAATTGAGGATCAACTGTATCTTGCTTTGATTCTTCTTTCTGTTAGTTTGTTTCTACAATAAAACTACTATTTGGTGTGATTTTCTCTCATATCTTGTGAGTTTGTTTGCTGATTTTATCTCTATTGATAGAAATACTTGAGATCTACAACATTTCCTATCAGCATCAACCTAAAAATTTAAGTTAATAGATAAGGGTGATAGGAAACACTTGTAGATCGTGAGTATTTCCTATCAATCTTCTCAAAACAGCGAGAATCTTCACAAAAGTCCGCACAAAAATAGTAGATAACTTGTATTATTTGATAAAAAGAACACGAAAAATAGCAAGGTACACTTGATCCTCAATTCGAGAGGAGGATCGATCTCTCCCAAATCTCTAGACGCCGCTAGAGCCCAAAGAAAACTTAAATCTAAGAGATCTCAAATTTCAGTCAAATTCAAGATACCCAAACCCTAGGTAAACAAAGTATTTAATGCAAACAAATCAAAAGGAAACCCCTAAACAGTCCCTACATTCAAATTCCCCTCCCAAATCCCTAAAAAATCCTTCCTAAAACGGTTTGTGGACGTTGGCAGTGCGCTCGATCGTGGAAACGGGGCGGAGGCAGTTCGCCTCATCGTGCTCGGGCCGGTTCCGCGTGGACCGGCTGGACCGGTCTAACAATACTCCCCTCCCAAAGATCCACCTTGTCCTCAAGGTGGAGATATGCTCGTGTTCCAGTGGAGGTGGCCATCCGAAAATCCTTACCAATTTGCTGAATTATGTGTTGCCCTAAAAGAGAAAATTCCCCCCCCTCCTCCTTTCTGATCACATCCAGCTTGTGTAGTCCCACTAAATAATCTTCCCCCACCTCTTGTAGGCTCCTAACCATGGCCTTTAATGATATCATAGCTTTAGATAACCCTGCATCTACCCTTATAAGCACCTTTCTCCCATCCACCATTAATTCCATCGTAAGTGCTCCCCAATTGTTCTTGGTTTCCCGCAAGGTTTGCAACCACTTCATCCCCATGATGACATCAGTATTTCCTAACTCTAGTGGGAGAAAGTCCTCCCTTATTTGAATCACCTGGATGGTCAACACCACTTCTCTACAGATCCCCTGGCCTTTCTCCACCTTCCCGGTACCCATCATCACTCCATAACAACCGGTGTCCACCAGCTTCACTCCCAATTGGTCAACGACCTGAGTGGAAATGAAATTGTGGGTAGCCCTACTATCAATTAGCACTACCACCTCCCTGCCCTCTATCTCCCCATTCACCTTCATGGTATAAATCGTAGTGAATCCTACCACTGAGTTTAGGGAAACCTCAGCCAGATCCAAGTGTAGCTTCTCTTCCATCTCCTCATCTGTCTCCTCCTAATCTCCCTCCTCAGTTTTCTCGTCATCGCAGACGGTGAGAACCTGAAGAGTTCAGTCCTTGCACCGATGCCCTGGCATATACTTTTCCTCGCACCTGAAACCCAACCCCTTTTCCCTCTTCTCCTGCATCTCCTTCTCTGTCAGCCTCTTAAATTTTTTTCTACTTCCTCCTCCTACTGGCTTCTCCCTGGTGGTCTCATTAATGTTGCCTGATGCAGGTCTCTTGGGTGCTAAAAGAGTGATTATAGTCTTGTAAGAGCCTCCTGAGCTGCTGCTCCTGGCTCTCTTCTCCAGATTCTTCTGATTTTTCACCAGTTGTGTCAACTTCATTGCCTCCTCCAAGTCACTAGGCATCAGAACTTTCACTACCGCTCGGATATCTGCCTTCAACCCCTTCTCATGAAGTTCCCCTCTAATACGATATCTGATAATCGCTTCACCCTACCTCGCTCACGGTAGTCTGTTACTGATCCCTCATGCACCAGAGCAAAGAACTGCTTATAGAAATCTCCTCCCCTGTTGGTTTGGAAACGTTATATTATGCAATCTTTGAATTCTCTCCAGTTCCTGATAGGTCTCCTCTGGTCTCTCCACTGAAACTACGACAAGGCTTTTCCTTCCAAGCATAATCCCGCTGCTGTCAACTTCTCCTCCTCCGTCAGCCCATTGACGACGAAGTATCGCTCGACCTTGTAAATCCACCCATACGCATCTTCTCCTTCGAATATGGGCATCTTCAACTTCGTCACCTTCTGGTTGCCACCATTTCCCTGATTCTCCCATAATTTCCCCTCGCCCAAGTGCTAGGTCCACCCCATGTTTCCCGATCTTCCCTTGCTCTGCCATAGCCCAAACTCCCTACGAGATCCCCCCTTCTTTCTTCAAAATCAGCACCCGGACGGCCGTAAAACCCCTCATGGCGTTCTCAGTTAGCTCCTCTTTGCTCCGCTTCCCCATAGTCATACCTTTCCCCATGTCAATCTCCTCTTTCCTCCCTATGGAAAGGCTCCACATAAGATCTTCTTCTTCCCCCCTTCCACGATTTCCACATCTTCTTCATCCTTATGGATTTCAGAATTGGTGTTCTTCGCTTCTGGGCCCTTCGCTTCGGATGCCGCCGTTTGTGCTTGAAGCTCCAGCATTCTTTTCATCATATCCCTGAGATCGGCCACATGCCCCTCCATGGAAGAAATTCTTTCCTCCACGGTTTCTTTGATGTGATTCATCTCTCCTTCGAGTCTCTCCTCCAAATCATTAACTTTCTTGGCCGCCATTACAATCTGGAGTTTGTCGATTCACAAAATTTGGATTTTGGAATAAAAAAACAGCAACTTCCTCCTTTTCCGAGCAAAAAATTGCTGCTGTAATTTGACGAAAACAGCCCTCCACCGGTCTCAAGACTTGCTCTGATACCAATTTGATAGGAAACACTTGTAGATTGCGAATATTTGCTATCAATCTTCTCAAAACAGTGAGAATATTCACAAAAGTCCGCACAAAAACCACAAAAAACAGTAGATAACTTGTACTATTTGATGAAAGGAACACGAAAAATAGCAAGGTACACTTGATCCTCAATTCGAGAGGAGGATCGATCTCTCCCAAATCTCTAGACGCCGCTAGAGCCCAAAGAAAACCTAAATATAAGAGATCTCAAATTTCAGCCAAATTCAAGATACCCAAACCCTAGGAAAACAAAGTATTTAATGCATACAAATCAAAAGGAAATCCCTAAACAGTCCATACATTCAAATTCCCCTCCCAAATCCCTCAAAAATTATTCCTAAAACGGTATGTGGACGTTGGCGGTGCGCTCGATCGCGGAAACGGGGTGGTGGCAGTTCGCCTCGTCGTGCTCGGGCCGATCCCGCGTGTACCGGCTGGACCGGTCCAATGGACTGGTCTAACAAAGGGCCACTAATATTTAATGGATATTATAAATGTACCGATCTCTTTCTTCTTCATTTTGAAAATTTATTGATTATTGCTTTCAAAATAATTGAGGAGAGGAAGTGGAATATGGAAGAAGAAAGTGAAGAGGGATGACTCAAATTAAAGTTTTCTAATGCAGTTAATTTGATTTTTAGTATGTTTTCATGCAAAGAAAACTAAAGGATTCCTACATTGCAAGTCACCAATTATTTTAAAGGCCTGCTTTCTTTAAATATAAACAAGTAATGCTAATGAAGTTTTCAAAATAAGTTGGGAATTTAAAAAAAATTATAATCAAATAAAATACACCAGCAAATGAATTATTTTTTATAATTTGGATTTCAAACGTATTTATATCAAAATTAAGATCACTAAATAGGTAAATGGGAATTATGCAAATGAAATAAAACAAAGAATGAAAAAATCGAAATAAGAAAAATCAAGTATCACATTTGTAGAAGGGCATGACTTCACATGAAATCAAATAGTAAAACTTGTATCTCACTTTAGGAATTATACATTCAACTTAAACTCATAAGATTAAAGCTGAAAAAAGATTTTTTTTTTTTTTCATTCCAAAAGTATTTATTGATTCCTAACATCAGTGCAGGAAAAATGTCATTTTCCTGAGGCAATTTTCGCTGGGAAACGGCCAAAATCTGTTTGAAATTAATATTTTGGCGGAAATATTTACGCCGGTAAAACACGC